CAGCCACTTTAGTGCAGCCCTGTGCTGGAGTGCAGCCACTTCTGGGGTGGAACCAGCTGTTTCACAGCTTCCTGCAGAGCAGCACAATGGAGGCCAAGGAGCATCCTGTAGCTAACTGACAGCGGCAGTGGGGCAGATGACACATCTGGCTGCTGGACTGAGTTACCCGCATCAGCAGTGCCATCGAACCTCAGCTTGCACTAAGGGTGTCTGGGAGGGCTGCAGTGATATGATGCTTGCTGCCCCCTGGGACAAGGGGCAGGCTGGACACCAGTTTGCTCAGCCCCATCACCCTGCATGCCCATGGGGAGACCCAGGACCAGCAGCACCAGCCTTCCATCCTGTCCTGCCGGGGTGGGGGGCGGGCACCTGGGTTCTGTTGCTCTCTTTGCCACTGCTTTGCTGCCCTGCTTCCTTGTCCAGACAGCATGGTAAGGGGGGCTCTGCCCCTGGCAGACCTGCACAGGGCTTTCCCCGGGAAAGTGCCAGGTTTCAGACAGTGGAGGGCAGCAAGGAGCTACCAAAGCTCAGCACCGGGGAGGATTTGAGGCCAGGGGTTGGGCTGAGGGCAGGCGGGAAAGGACTTGGCAGCTGCCCCAGAGAGGGGAGGCGCCAGCCCTGCCAGTCCTGGGCCTTTGGGGATGGAGCTGGTTTCTGGGGGATCAGCCCCATCTTGCAGGCCAGGTCTGGAGGAGGCAGGTCCTCCCAGCAAGGTGCTATGTGGCTACCAGTGACCGGATGGGGAGGTCAGAGTGGGGCTGTTTTACCCCCTCTCCCCCCTTTCCTCCACAAGCTCCTGTATTTTGGGATTGGGGTTGAGCCCTGTAGGAACTGCCAACCCTGAACCCCCTGGGATTGGACACCTGTGAACTTGGGAACACGGCAGAGTCCAGTCCCATCGCCCAGGCCTTGGGTCAGGTCCTGCCCAACCCTCCAGCCTCCCGTCTCCCCAGCTTTGTCCCCTTCCATCCAACCCCCTGGCATCAGCTCCTCTCCCCCAGGAGACTCAGGGGAGAGGTTATGGGAAGGAGGATCTCTTCCCTCCCGGCACAAAGGCCACCCAGGAGAAAGGCAGCAGGATACTGCTGTTTTAAGGCTTTAGTTTAACCAGGCAAAGCCGGTCCCAACCTCCTCCCTGGCTGCATCCGCCAAAGAAAGCCGAGAGCAGCCTGCAGATCACCCCACCAGGCCAGCTGCAATAGGGGAACAGGGCACAGCAGGTCACCGCCTCAGCTATGGGGGCAACGGATCCACCTTGGGCTTGGGAGGAACCCACTAGGCCAGCACAGCTGGGAGAAGCAGGGCTGCAGCTCCAGGCTCCCCTCCCTGCTCCCCACCTGCAGCAGTGGCTGGAGTCCTGCCCAGGCCCAGGAGACCCCCAGGGGTGCCCCCAAAGCAGCTTTGTTCCTCTGAAAACACCTGGGCACCACTGTCCATTTTTACAAGCAAGGAAACTGAGGCACAGAGCAGCCCGGGTACCACCACCCATTTTTGCAGATGAGGAAACTGAGGCACAGAGCAGCCTGTTTTACAGGCGAGGAAACTGAGGCATAGAGCAGCCCAGGAACCACCACCCATTTTACAGGTGAGGAAACTGAGGCACGGAGTAGCTGGGGCACCACCACCCATTTTACAGGTGAGGAAATGGAGGCACGGAGCAGCTGGGGCACCGCCATGCATTTTTGCAGATGAGGAAACTGAGGCACAGAGCAGCCCGGGCACCACCACCCATTTTACAGGTGAGGAAACTGAGGCACGGAGCAGCCTGGGCACCACTGCCCATTTTACAGGTGAGGAAACTGAGGCACGGAGCAGCCCGGGCACCACCGCCCATTTTACAGGTGAAGAAACTGAGGCACGGAGCAGCCCGGGCACCACTGCCCATTTTACAGGTGAGGAAACTGAGGCACGGAGCAGCCCAGGCACCACTGCCCATTTTACAGGTGAGGAAACTGAGGCACGGAGCAGCCCGGGCACCACCGCCCATTTTACAGGTGAGGAAACTGAGGCACGGAGCAGCCCGGGCACCCCCACCCATTTTACAGGTGAGGAAACTGAGGCACGGAGCAGCCCAGGCACCACCGCCCATTTTTGCAGACGAGGAAACTGAGGCACGGAGCAGCCCGGTGACTCCCCCAAGGTCAAAGCCCAGCCCAGATCTCCTAAATCCCAGTCCTTCCCTCTTTTCCCCTCCAAGGGATCTGAAAACTGTGTCCCCCCGCACCCCCTGCCTGGGGGTGCGGGCCAGATTAACCCCCTCCTCGCCGCGCCCTCCCCAGTCGGCCGGGCCGCCCCGCCCCGAGGGCGGCGGGAGACGCCCCCCCTACCCCACC